CGGTGGCGAAAAACCTTGAAACCCTAAGGGATGCATCTCAGGGTTATATAATGCCGTTTGAAATCATATATGATCATTATATGTTGTCATAAACGTCCGTGGTAGGCTTGAGTTTACGAAATCACTGTAAGTTGTGAACGAGTAAAATGAACGTTTAAGGGCATACTGGATGGTTCAACCGACCCAATTTGAAACCCGGAGGATAATAGGGACCATGATGAACATCTCGACAATTTTTATTTCCTGTCAAAAAAAGGTCAAAAAAATTACAAAATTGAAGGCTATAAGCAACGCTTTTTGAAGAAAATTTGAGGTTCAGGGCCCGGTGGCGAAAAACCTTGAAACCGTAAGGGATAAATCTCGGGGTTATATAATTCCGTTTGAAACCATATATGATCATTATATGTTGTCAAAAACGTCCGTCATAGGCTTAAGTTTATGACATCACTGTAAGTTGTGAACGGCTAAAATGACCGTTTAAGGGCATATTGGACGGTTCCACTGACCCAATTATACTCCCGAAGGATATTAGCGAACATGGTAAACAACTCGGCAATTTTTATTTCCGTGCGAAAAAAGGTCAAAAAATTACAAAGTTGAAGGCTATAATCCACGCTTTTTGAGGAAATTTTGAGGCTTCAGGGCCCGGTGGGGAAAAACCTCGAAAACCTAAGCGATACATCCCGGAGTTATATAAAGCCATTTGAAACCATATATGATCATTATATGTTGTCATAAACATCCGTGGTAAACTTGAGTTTACGAAATCTTTTCAAGTTGTGAACGGGTAAAATGACTGTTAAGGGCATATTGGATGGTTCCACCGACCCAATTTGACTCCTGGAGGATTTAGAGACCATGGTAAACATCTCGAAATTTTTTATTTCCGGTTGAAAAAAGGTCAAAAAATTACAAAATTGAAGGCTATAATCCACGTATATTGAGGAAAATTTGAGGTTTCAGTGCCTGGTAGCGAAAAGCCTCGAAAGCCTAAGGGATACATCTTAGGGTTATATAAAGCCGTTTGAAACCATATATGATCATTATATGTTGTCATAAACGTTCGTGGTAAACTTGAGTTTACGAAATCACTTCAAGTTGTGAACGGGTAAAATGACCGTTTAAAGGCATATTGGATGGTTCCACCGACCCAATTGGACTCTTGGAGGGTATTAAGGATCATGGTAAAAATCTCGACAAGTTTTATTTTCGGGCGAAAAAAGGTAAAAAAATTACAAAATAGAAGGCTATAATACACGTTTCTTAAGGAAATTTTGAGATTTTGGGGCCCGGTGGCGAAATGTGGCAAAATTGAAGGCTATAATCCACCCTATTGTTCGAGTATAGGCTGGGTTCAGATCATTATCGGTCAAGGTCGGGTCCTCGGGTCGGGTCAGTTTTTGACAGCTTTAGGGACTCAATATTTTTTCCATCGGGTCCCGAAACTTCAAAAATTCCTCAAAAACTGTGGATTAAATAGTCTTCAATTTTGTAATTTTTTTTGACTCTTTTTCGCCCGAAAATAAAAATTGCCGAGATGTTTACCATAGTCTCTAATACCCTATGAGAGTTTAATGGGTGGGTGGAACCATCCAATTTGTCTTTAAATGATCATTTTACCCGTTTTCGTACATGCCTCTTGTATTGGCTATAAACTCTCACGGGGCCTTTACGTTGCCGGATAATGGTCATATATATATGGGTCCATACAATATTATATGATCTCGGATTCATCTCATAGTATTTCGCGAAATTCCAACACCAGTTCCCGACACCTCCTAAATCGCTCCATTAAATTTTTCGTCAAAATTTTAAATAGGGGTGGTGCAATAAAAAATTTAGGTAATTAAAAGGTGGTTTAGTAAATAAAAAAATATATAAAAGGTGGTTTTTTCAGAAAAGTTGGACAAAAAAGGTGGTTTATACCAATTTTACCTAAATTATATACAAAGGACATGTCTATATAACTTTTTACAAGAACATGTTTATATAATTAGTCAATAGTTATTCAATAAATAATTTATTCAAAGGTTTAATGAGAAACTATTATAAATTATAAACAAATAATTAATAAATAAATAGTAAACAATGACCCTATATATCTATTCAATTACAAGTGCTACAAAAAATAACTCGGAGCATCGCTCAGGCCACACATTAGTTAAATAATAAAAATGCCAGGTTGACATAATAAAAGCGGATGGCCAAAAGATTAGCTTAATAACTACAAATTTTCCAAGAAAATATTGGTAGATTTAACATCTATAGGTAAGAGTCACCGAATTCTCACCGAGAATTTGAGCGATTGATCGGAGAATTGTGATTTGGAGAACATAGGGGGGTTTTGGCGAACATAGAGCGATTATTATTAGAAATTTCCATGATTATTATTGGAGATAATGAGTAGTATAAAAAATGATGAAAACGAATAGGAATATGTGTACGGTATAGATAGATAAGAAGTAGGAAGGATACAATAATTTTTATTTGATTATTACAATTAGGAGTTTCGTTGGTTATGGACTGTGTTGACGCTTGAAAAGATGAGCCAATTCAACGCTCAACTCTTCATCTTTAGGTGGTCTGGTGATGTATAATTGGCAATGAACAATCCAATATTTAATTATTGGAAACTAAAAATATCTAACAAAGTAACAAGTAGCAATACTATCTAATGCACAATTATAGGGTTTGTAGCCTAAAATAAACACGAATACATAGTCGCAAATTACACCAATTTATAATTTTTACTCCTTGAAAGTTGAAAATATACAATCATATGAATAACTAATTAAAGATGAAAAGGGATCTGAAATATAAAGTACAAATAATTGAATAAATTGATAAAATTATTAATAATTTACCTTTGCGCCAAAGTCTCCCTTAAATTGATGAATGATGATAATTGGTAATGTATGTAAACTAAGAAAAGCATTGACACTATGAATTTGTGAAGTTTGCTAGAGAAGAAAGGATTGTTGGAGAATCTACAAAGGTCGAACTCGAAGGCAAAAGGGCGGTTACGTAACGTTTAATTCAAAGGTTTTTCTTATCAAATAAAGCAGCCCATAATTATTTTTGAGTATTAAATTTCTAATTATTTATGGCTAGACTCTAGTTTAGCCATTTATCCCTACACCCCCCCTAAACGACGCCGTACCACTACCCCCACACATCCCAGTAACTTCCCTCTAAAACTGCCAGTAACTTCCCACAACCCCACCCATATATATATATATATAATTAAAAAAAAAAAAACTTTTCAAATAATCACATTTACTCTGCATTTTCTTTCTCATCCTCTTTCTCCAATTTCTCACTCAACCTCCATTTTCTCTCTCTACTCCATTTTCGTACATGCAATTAGCAAGTAAAATTGTCTAAAATGTCCGACATAAGAGACGAAATTGCACAATCTTGACAAATTTCAACAACAACAAACCAAAAATCTAATGAGTAAGTATGTTTTACATGTTTAGTGTAAAATTAATTGAAAATTGCGAAACAAAACCCTAATTTTTTGGTATTTTTTCTTTTTGATGATGCTTCAGGAAAAAAATTGAAAATACTGGAGTTCCAGAACAATCAAAGTAAGTATTACTATTTTTTTTGGAATTATAAGCATAAATTTATTTAAATTTGCTCATATTTAAACAAGTTACTGTTTAAATTCAAAATAAACATAATTTTCCTCTATTTCTGAGACGATAATAAAAATTTAAACAAGTTACTGTTAATATTGGAATGTATGCATAATTTTGATTAAATGATCAACCAAAAAAAATATTAAGTATAGTATTGTGAAATATAATGAACAAATACAAAACAGTATATGTTCAAATTGGATTGTGTGCATATATGTGTGCATATATATGTATACATATGTTCAAATTTGTATGTTATGTGTACAACATGCAATTTATGTTTGTTTCTAAATTGTTCATTTCTAAATTTATGTGTATACATTTACTGACATATTAATTGTTCATTTCTAAATTCCATTTTGTACAAATAGAAAACATATACCTTATTCATCTGTGTAGTAAAATGAACATTTAGAAAACACTATATTGTCAAAATTCATATTATGTTATATATATCCATATATGTGTATACAAATGTTCATTGCTACAACTATATTGATCATTTATATGAACTATTCTGTACATTTGTCTAACATAGAAACATCATGTCAATTTTTATGATTTACAATATTAATTTACATTGTAGTGATGTACCATTTAAAGTGATACACTTGATGCAATTTGACAATGGAATGTTCAATCCTTATCCTATAATTCATGAGAGAAATAAATGTTCTGAAATAGACAACAAATTGGATAGAAATGAAGTTATAAAAAAGTGGGAACCCTATTTATTAGGAGACAACCTACATCCCAAGTAAGTTGATATACTTACAAATATTCATATATGTAATATTTAATGTACAATCATTTACTTCAATACTTAATCTCATAATTGAAATAATTTGTAAAATTTTAGTGAACCAAAAAAGTTGAAAGTGAAATTTATAATGTCAAGATCAAGGCCAGAGAAAAATCAATCAATAAGGTATAAATACTTAATAAAAATTCAATAATTAATTTTTATACAGTTACATAATCATACTTTTATGTATTAACATTCGAAAAATTTCAGTGAACAAGAGAAGGAAACTTCAAAAATAGATGATGCATCAACAAATCAAGGGTATATTCTACCTCAATGTGTTTAATGTTCATTTATTTCTTAGTTGTCATACATAATCTAATGATTTGCATTCTCAGAAAAAAAAAACAACTGAAGAGGAAGCAAAAACTGATCACCTACAACAAGAAAAGGCTGGATCAGAATTAGTGAATACAGGGTATTTGATTCCCATAATGTTCATTTTCATATTACTTAATAAACATTTTTAATTATTTGAAATTAATTGATTTTCAGAAATCAATCACCTAAGAAAGACACAAGAGAGGTTGAACAACTACAACTAAAAAAGGATGCAGCAGGGTATTTTTAGAAATCAACTAATGTTCATTTTCATATTAGTTGATAAACATTTTTAATCATTTTCAATTTTTAATTTTCAGAAATGAATCAACTGAAGATGAGCCTCCAAAAGAGGCTACAGCAAAGGATCAGCCTACACAACAAGTGAAGGCTATAGCAGAGGATGAGCCTCCAGCAGAGGAAGAGCCTCCAAAAGAGGATGAGCCTCCAGCAGCAGTTGAAGAAACACATTCATACATAATGCAAAAGTATGAACATATATAACTTATTAAATGTTTCTATTCCACATTTACAATATTATTGATCATAAATTATCTGTTGCCAGGAAAAAAATAAAAGTGTCAACTTAAGGAATACTAAAAAAACTGACAAAAAACTGGAAAACTGCTCCTGTTAGCAAGGTCATTGCTGCTAAAAAGGCCCCTGCTACAACTGTGGATACTGCTGAAAAAGCCACTGCTGCTGAAATGGCCCCAACTACAACTACTGAAAAGTCCTCTGCTGCAGAAAAATCCCATGCAGCAAGTTCTGCCAATGCACAACAGAAGGCCCCTGCTGAAATTAAAAAAATCCTATTAGGTAATGTACATAATTGTTAAATTAAATATTAAATTTTTTTAATCAATAACACTTATACTGAAAATGTTCATTTACCAATTTGTAAATGATCTAAATGTATAGGTGGTGAAGAAATTGAGATTGAGGATGAAACAAAAGAAGAATTGGAAAGACAAAGACAAGAAGAATTGCAAAGGGATGAGGAGTTGACAAGAATATTGAGAGGTATAAAACCTGTTGAAGAGTTAAATTTGTCTCAAAAGAGTGAAGAATCTTCAAAAAATTCAAAGCAACCAAGAAGGAAAATGGTTGCAAGGAAAAATCAAAAGAAAAAAGAATTGGAAGAAAATCAGAAAAAACAGGAAGATGAACAATCACCAGCAGAAGAACAAGAAGTAAATCACGAGGTAAGTAAAATGTACAATTTCTAATATAAAAATGATCATATTAAATAAAATATTACAACTATATTAATATTTATATAACAATGTTTATTTGCAGATGTTAAGTTGCCTGGCATATCAGCTATAGCAACAGCTGCTGCAGCAATTGCTGAAAACTTACCAGCAGCAACAACACCCAAAAAACCTGGGCGTCCAAGGGCTGCAACTGCAGTTGCAGAGAAACCTGCTGAGAAAACAGGGCGTACAAGGGCTGCAGTTATTGGGAAAGCAGGACAAAAAGGTAAAAGAACATATCTAAAACAATAAATGTTCAATTACAATCTTACACTTTTAAAATGTTTATTTTACTTAATGTAATTGATCAAATAATTAGGTGGTCAGAAAAGACCTGCTGCATCAGCCAAAGGTCCTGCAAAAAAAAAAAAAAGTCATAGATCAAGTGCCTTATGATGAACCATCAGAGGATGAAGAACAAGAAGAAGTCCCTGCAACAAGTTCTGCTCCTGCAGAAAAGAAAATTCTTAAAAAAGTAGAACAAAAAGGTAATGTACATATTAATAAAGTTAAATGTTCAAATACAAACTAGCAATTTACACTTTCATATATATATGTTCATTTTACATATTATAATTGATCAAATGTTTAGGTGGCCAAAAGAGGCCTTCTGCATCAGCTAAAGGCCCTTTGAAGAAAACAAAAATCATTGAAGAACAATCAAAGGAGGAAAATGAAGAAGATGATAAAAGTAATACTGATAGTGGATCAGACAGTGAGGATCCAGCTTTTGATGCTGAAAAAGAAGAAGATGAAGAAAGTGAGGAGGTGGAAGTAGTTCAAGAAAAGAAAACAACATTGAAAAAACCAAAAGCTGAAGAAAAAAGAATGGTTCTGTATGAGAGGGAACCAATAAAAAAGATTGTGAAGAGGAAAACTGAATTTTCAGTGGCTAAAAAAAAGAAGAGGAGGAAGAAAAGAATGAAGAGGAAGTTGGAAGTTTGACAAGAGGAGGCCATGTCAAATTCATGCATTGGGTTAAGAAAATGAGTGATACACAGAAGAAATTAGTGCATGAAATAGGACTGGGGCCGTTGTTGGATATAGAACTTCCTCAGCTTGACAAACAATTCAGCCATTGGGTTTTAGATAGCTTTGAAGTCAGTAGTTGTAGTTTTGAGCTGCCTAAAGGTGAGAAAATTGAAATTGAGGTGGAGGATGTGAGAATTGTATATGGTTTGCCAATGGGAGACATTCCTATTGTTGAAGCCAAATCAGACAGAGCAAGTGAAGATTTTGGTGTATTTATAAAATATTGGAGGTCAAAATGGCAAGGCAAAACACCATCTGTAAACCAAATTATTGCTCAATATACAAGTGATAAATTCAAAAACCAAAGGCCAACAGAAGAAGATTTTCTCACCAACTTTTTGGTAGTTGCTGTGAATTGTTTGATGAAGTGTATTTCAAACAACCAATGCCATTTCAAGTTTCTGTTTTCTATGATGGACAAAGAAAAAATAAAAAACTTGAATTGGTGTCAGTACGTGTTTGACTCTCTCATCAGTTGCCATGTGACATGGAGAAAGAGTGGAGGAAAAGGATTCTACAATGGACCACTGCAATTTCTGATGGTAAGTTTACAACACACAATAGTAAATTATAAAATGTTCATTTTAGTAACAATGAATGTTCATTAACAAAATGTTAAATATCGATTTCGTCTAAAATTTTAATCTTTTATATTAATTGTTCATTTGTATTATATTATATGTTCATTTATAGTAATGGGTTTTGGTGCAGCTGTTCTACTTTGACAGAGTTCAAAGATTGAACAAAAAACAACCAAGAACAATTCCAATAATTTCTTGTTGGAAAAGGGATATGTCACTTGAAAGGATAAAAACAGAAAATGATTTGAACTATGGATATGGAAAAGTCCTTCCAAGAATAGAAGAAAAGCCTGAAGACAATCCTAAGGTACAAAATGATCATTTATAAATTATGAAATGTTCTATATCAAAACACATAATGTCTTATATGATTTTTTTTATATGTTCTATAAATGACAGGTCTTTATGAATGAATTTGCATCAATGGTACAAGAAGTTGGTGCATCTTTGGCAAGACTTTCTACCAAATTGGTTAAGGCAAAAGAGCTCTTCCCTGGGAATCAGTTGGTCAAGAAGGTAGATGAAGTGTTGGGAAAGATGGCAAGAGAACCATCAATTCTCAGCCAAGATGAAGAAATATTTGGATCAGAGGATTTTTTGAATGCCATAGCACAAATTGAGAAGGAACTGATGGAGGCAAGTGAAGTAGAAAAAAAAGAAAATAGGAAATGAGAAGGAATATGATATAAGGAAGGCATTCAGTTTGGGTTGCAACTTAACTCCCCCAACTCCAACAACTGGTAAATATGCTTAATTAAAAACTGTCATTAATTTGAATATCCTTACTTAAAGAGTATAATATAATTAAAGAATTAAAATTTAATTTATTTGAACACAGAAGCACATATTAATGTTGCAGCCACAACTTCAACAACAACTGATGCAAATGTTTCTTCTAAGCCAGAAGAGGGTAAAGCTTTAATATCTATGTACAATTATGAAAAGTATAATGTTCATTTATAAAATAATAAGTTTGTTTAGTCTAAATATTCAAAAAAGTATATATTCAGAATAACAAATGTTCATTTACATTAACAATTTCATATATTTTAAATCAACAGAAAGAGTTGGAGGTTCAAATTCTGAAGAACCACAAGATGGAGGAAATTCAAAAAAAGGTAAAAAGTTCACTTATATAGTATTAAATGAACATTTGTGATTGTAAAATATTCTTCTTTAATGATACTAAGTCTATATATGTGTGAATGCAAATTAATACAAAAATCATTAAACAAAGGTGAAGGTTCAAAATCTGAAGCATTAGAAGAAAATGTTGAAGGAAATTCAAAGAGTGGTACAATGTTCACATATTACAAATAAATGATCAAATTATTAAGTATAATGTTCATTTCTAGTTATATAAAATTACTTTCATGTATTTTGTTTGCAGCATCTGATTCAAAAGTTGGTGATCCCAAGACACCAACTGAAAATAGGGAAGCTGCTGGAGATATTTCTACAATCTTGAAATCTCCAGCATGTTCAAGTATGGAAGATATCCTTGATAAATCAAACAAGAAAGGAGGAAGCATGGGGTAAACATGGAAGACCTATCTTGTTAGAAAATATATAATTTTGAATGGACATGTAGAATAAATTTGGTTATAAAGAGTAATTATTTTGGACAGTTTTTGTTTATGAAGTTAGTAATGGATATGTATTATAAAATCAGAAGGGAATATTTTGCTTTAGGGTAGGAATGCACAATTTAAGATATGTAAATTATGTATTTTAATTTAAATGTCTTAGTAATATTTTAAGTGTTTATTGTTCAAAAAAGGAGAATAATGTTTTTTTTATAATAATTACTCTTCATTACTAACCATGATTAATATTTCAGAGAAGACAAGAAGAAACAGATATATGCTTCAAATGTGAAGGAAAGGTAAATGATTATTCCACATATACATGTTCTTTTTCATTAAACTGAATAATCATTTATACTATATTTATATTCAGTGAGACAAAAAAGGATTCAAAAGAAATTGAAACAAAGAAGATTCAAATTTCCAAAAACACAACAGGACAAAGGTAAATGGTCTTTACATGTGTATAGATTTATAATGTTCATTATCAATATACTAAATGATCATTCATAATTCAATATTTATTCAGTGACAGAGAGAAGACTTTGGAAAGAAAAAAATCAAGATAAGCTGAGAAGGCAAAAACTGAGATTGCAAAGGAAAAAGAGATAAGGTATTACTATTTGTTCTTTATATAAATTATTTGTTCATTATTAAAAAAAATTCATATTTGTATTAATATATGGTCACATTAACTAGGCCACAAAGGGAAATCCCAAATGCTCCTCTTGCTTTCCGATCTCCATACATGGTCAAGTACAAGGATTTGTTCAAAGATGAAGACACAATGAACAAACTTGTAACAGACTATGCTTATAGTGGAAAAGATCAAAGGTATACATCACTTACTTCATTAAAACTTTAACATTGTGTTTGTTGTAAACTCATAAAATTTAAAAAATTGATATTTTGTAGTGAGCTACTATACTATGATGGAGTGAATTCGATCAATAGGGCAGAGATGAAAACTCTTGAAGGGGATACATTAGTAGTTAACAATGTGATCGATTCATGGGCAGTACTTCTGAATCAAAAAAGGTCAAAGAACAAGTTATACTTTTCAACATTTCCACATGTAAGTCTTTATTGAAATTACACATGTATACATTGGTGTACTAAAATGATCAATTCACTTATACTAGATGATCATTATGAATATTAAAATGATCCTTGTGCATTATTTGCAGCAAATTATGTATGCAAATACAGTGTGTCCTGAAGGATCATCAATGGAGCTTAGAATTGCATACTTCAAAGAAAGAATAACAAATGAATTGAGGTTATACAAAATCAAGAGTGCAGTTGGATATCAACAGGTATTAATGAACAATATGGAATTATAATATGTTCATTTACATTAATGTGTATATATAATAATATTGTGTACTATGTACAGATTTTTTTCCAATGGCCATATATGCACATTTCTATCTTCTATGCATTGATCATATCAATGAGACAATGCATATAATTGACAACAGGAAACTGCCAAATTATCAAACAATTGCAACAAAGTATGAAAACCAACCCCAATTGGTGGTAAGTATATTGTTTAATAGATATATAAATAATCAATTTGTTTATACAAAATGATCAATATTGAAAATTAAAATGATCAATATTAATATGATCCTTTGAATTTTTTTTCTGTATATGTTGCAGTTAAAAGGATATGCAGAATATTTGAAAGGGTTGGGGTATGAAGATGCAGATTCTATTGAGAAATATAAGGTGGTTTTGCAAAAAATGAAGTGGAGGAGCAACGAAGATTACACCAACTGTGGAGTTTACATTATGAAACATATGGAAACTTTCACTGCTGATCCCAATGAAGAATGGGTTTGTGACCTAAAACCAAACAATGTAAGTAAATTTCAATAAAACAAAAAAATATACTTCATGATCACTTTATAATACATAATGATCATTTATATCCCATTAATGTTCATGTTTATAATAAATTATTTTCTTGGAACAGGTGAACCAAATCAGAAAGCTCAGAGTACAATACACTGCTGAACTAATGCTGAATGAAGGAAACAGGCAGTCACAGAACAATAGAAGAGCAGCAAGAAGATTTGCACAAGCTTAATACAATATGTTCATATATAGACATATATATGATCATACTTGCTTTCATTATTTGTATGGACATAAGTTTTTGTTGTTGTTCAAGTAAAGACAAAATTTATTATCTTTTTAATATTTACAAATAGTAAAGTGTTACATTATAATTGCCAGTTTTAAATCATCTAATATAATTATTCCAATTTAATAATGGTTCTTACTATTTAAAATAGTATATGATCACTTCCAAAAGCAAAAATAATCATTTATAGAACATTTAAGAATAGTTTGAAAAAAAAAGATTCAAATTACTTAATAAATCAAAATATAAAAAACTTAAAGCACTTGAATCTCTATAAAGTTGAGACAACTAAAAATGTTGATAGTTAAACACCAAAACATAATTGCATATTGATTTACTCTCTTATTTACCATTTGTAGCCAATCTCTTAGCCACACTAGTATCAAAAAACGCTAAAAACCTATCATATTTGGTTGAAATCTGTGGAGAACCTCCTTGAGTACTTCTTGAAACAGTAGGAGATCCTTGAACATTCATTGAAACACTAGGAGAAAGTAGAACATTCCTTGAAACACTAGGAGAAACTTGCACATTCCTTGAATTTCCTTGAGTACTTCTTGGAACATTAGGAACATCATGCACATTTCTTGATACTAGAATCAACTTGAACATTCCGAGAACAGCCTTGAGTACTTCTTGGAACATTAGAAGGAGCTTGAACTTTCTTCGGAACACTAGAACGAACTTGAACATTTCTTGGAGCTTTTGGAGGATTTTGAACAATGCTAGAAACTTTAGAAGGAGCTTGAGCATTGATTTGAGCATGCACAACTGTGGGAAATTGTACATTTCTTGGTTTCTTTGGTGGCAATTGAGAACTTGTTGGAAAATTATCAACATCATGAGCAATTGCAGCTGTTTTACCCTAATGATCAAAATTAAAATAATTAATGATCAAATTCAAAATTCATAATGACCTTATACAAAATTAAAAGGTAGATGATTAATATTTCACCTTAACAATAGAAGATATGTCTGGATCAACAGTAACGTTTGATTGCATAGAGCTATATCCATATTCCTATAATAAAATGAAAATTATAAAAACATTATAATCACAACTTAAACTACTAAAATGAACAACTACAATTACATACATAATCATTTACATAATACCTGTTCAAAGTCATTTGAAACACTATCATCTGAAGGGATATCTTCTACAATGGAAGTCTTTTTATTACAAACCTTGAAAAAAAATTAAAAGTAAAAATGTTTCATATTCTAAAGAATTTGATAAAAACAGATAAAAAAAAAAGAAAATAAGTTTTTACCTGAGCACTTGGATCTTCAATCACAATTAACTCATTAGGATCAGCCAAATAATTAGCATAAGATATAGGACACCCATTCTCGTCCAATTCCTAAGTCAAAACAAAAATGTTCAATTCTTGAACATAAATGATCAATAACAAAAACATAAATGTGCATTATTACCTGAACTACTGCTTGACCTTTAGATCTTTTATAAGGAGTGTATACTGACTTTTTCTTCAACCACTGACCCCTGGCTTTGTTATAAGCCTTCTCTAAATTACTCTTAGGCCTATAATTCCTCTCTCCAATAGGTCTTGATTTTGCCGGATTCTTAACTTCATGATCAACAATTTCAATACCTTCAACCGGTTCATTAAAATAAATAGTACCGGTAACACTCTCAATCTTTTCTTTTAAAAGATTGAAATAACATTCAACCTCTGCTCTAGCATTCAAAGAGTGTTGACAACTTGTTACCAACTTAACAAATTTCCTTAGTGTTTGTGTCCTCCAAACACTTGTAGATACTACATTGGTTTTCATTGTAGGTTCATCAAGGCCATGACTACACATAGCAGCCTTAGTCCACCTCTTACATATATATAGTCATCTAGAATCTTATGAACACAATTCATATGATAAATTCGAAGAGCATGACAACAAAGCAAACCCATTTCACTAAACAACATGCATGTACAACATATTGCATGTGTTTCTTTATTAAAAACAACCTCGTGCTTGATCATATCTTTCCCAGGTCTCCACAAATGATAATAATATTCAGGAAAATTCACACCAGCATCCTTATGATCACAAGCAGTACCCTTAATGAACTCTTCCTCAAAAAGCACATAAGCTTGAATAGTATACAATGATCTAGCATGAACAAGAATCCCAATGTATGCAAAGGCCAAATGACGATTACCTCTGATTGTATTATAATCTCTCCCTTTTTCTTTGCTTCTCCACTCTTGAACCACATCGAGAAACACTTGATAGAAATCACATAGACCTTGTGTCTTGTTAAGCCTTTGAGAAACTGATTTGTTAGTTGTCTCACTACGTTGAGATGAAAGCACACCTCCTGACCAAAATTTCTTTGAAAAAGCTGGACACCACATCTCTTTGATTTTATACAAATCATTCAACCAATCAACATTTGCACAGTCATATTTCAACAACATTCTGTAAATGAAACATGATCATTAAGCATAACAGTTATGATCATTATAAATAAACATTTATAAAAAACTAAATGTTCATTTCTGTAAAAATTATTTAAGAAGCTAAACAAGTATAAAGCAGAAGTACCTTTTCCAATAATGCTCAAATTCTGGTGGAGTTTCACAATACTTCAGTAAATAACCAAATAAATCAGTGAAACCATCCAAAGCTCTCAACGCCCCAATGTGTTTCTTAGAATTTTGTTCAATATGCCACACACATAATCTATGATGAACACCTTTGGGGAAAATATTTCTTATCCCAGCTGCAATTGCTTGAGCTTGATCAGTCATAATAGTAATAGGACTTCTCCTTCCCATAGAAGTTAGAAAAGTATCAAATAACCACTTAAATGATTCTGTTCTTTCATTAAGTATAAATCCCATGCCAAACATCACATTATTTGCATGATGATTCATACCCACAAATGGAGCACAAATCATACCATATTTGTTAGTCCTATAAGTAGTATCAAAAACTAACAAATCACCAAAGTAATGATAATCTCTCATCATCCTTCCATCTCTCCAAAAGAAATTAACCAATGCACCATTTTCATCTTGTTCAAAATCATAATAGAAATCTGCTTCATCAATTTGTCTCTTAGCAAAAAATTTGATTAGTTGATTGTTGTCACCTCCCCCAAGTTTAGCTCTCTTTTCAACAGAAATAGCATTATAAGCATCAGGAGCTGTAAAACAAAGGTTAGGAGACCCTCCAACCTCCTTCTTTAACGCTCTCAAAGAATCAGAAACTTTAACTCCACTCAATCTAAGTGTAGAAATGAAATTAATATGTTCCTTAGAAATATCCCTTTGAGACCTTATTAAATGTCTCTTGTCAACAGGAATCATTTCATGATTATGAACCATCTCATGTCTTGTACATGTATATACACCTGAACGGTCAATACTAAGCTGCACAAAAGCTAAGCAACCAGTCCTTATGTTAAGTCTCTCATACAGCCTATTATTCCTGCACTTATCATCTTTAAAACCCTCATTTGTACAAACAAATCTTTTCATATAGAATGAATCATCTCTTCGCCTCTTACTTTTTCCAATTCTAATTCCAAAGCCCTTTCTAAATGCATATTCATTAAACATTTCATAAGCCACATCTTCAGAAGGAAATTGTTTCCCATAAAATTCAGAACTAGCTGCTTCCTCAAATAAAATAGCATTCTTTTTTTCCATTGCAATATTAAAATGTAACAAATGAACACAAATAATAGCAATAATGTACAATAACCACATGTAAACTGTTAATGATCATTTATCATTACATAAATGAACATATATCAAAATGATAATAAAACATATAAATGAACATTTATGATTACATAGATAAATGTAAATTACAGTAATTACACCTATGTTAACGTAAATGTACATATAATCTAACATACATGAGCATTAATTGAATGTCAACTTTTATAAAACTATAGACAATCATTAAAATGCAGAAAACTGGAAAAAACATCAATCGAATAACAACATTACAAAGAAAAACAATAAAATCACAACAATACATCACAAACTATAAATTAAAATAATCATAAATAAAAATTAAATCAAATATTATAATCGACCATAATTTTTATTTTAATTCATACAATAAGCAAAACTACAAAACCAAAAATTATAATTGAGCATTATATAAACTATAGTTCATACAATTATCAAATTATGAAATCAAAATCGAACTATTACATGCAAAAACAGAGCATAATCAAAATCGAATGATTGAGGGAAAAATTACTCACATTGTTGCGAAAACGAGTCGACTAAACCAACTCCAACAGGAAAAATAGAATCACAATCACGATCTAAAGCAATTAAGCTAGAATCACAGTCACGATCAAACACAATTGAGCTAGAAATTTCCATGGAAGAAGAGAGAGAAAAATTGGGGGAAAAATAAAAAATGCAGGAGAGAGAAAATGAAATAAGTAAAAAAAGAGAGAAATAAAATAGAAATTAGGTTAAAAAAATCATTATATAGTTGCTTGAATAGAGAGTTAACAAAAATGAAAAAAGATGAAGAAAAAAAAAACAAAATAGCAGAATGATTATTTATGGCTTGAATATAAAACGATGTAGTAGCATGGGGGTGTAGGAGAAGCTAGCTACCCTAGAGTCTAGGCAAAAATTTGTATTAAATTTCGGGTTTGGTCCGGTCTGGGTTTTTTTCGGGTTTAGAACGGACCGAACCGAAACCCAAAAAGTTAACTTTTGAAACCCAAAGACCGAACCGATCACCATCACATGTTGAGAGTAATGTCTATATAGTCAAATGCAAAGCCTCACGTGTTGAGAATAGCGTTGAATATTTAAAGACAGAGACTCTATGATTAACTATCCAGACCCTATTCTAAGGTCATGTTTGAGCCAAGTCGTGTTCAGTTTCCATTTGAGAAATATAATAATAAAATAAAATTAACTTTTTCAAAGCCTCAAAACTACACTTTCTCTCATCTTCAATTTCCCTAACTTTCCAAGCTCCTTTTGTTTCCGCCACGTCATATATAATACCAATTATGAACAACACTTTGAGACAAGAGATAACATGGTTGTTGAGTGTTTATTATTGTTGTGGCCGATTTTAGTTTTATTTTGTTGGATGGGTTATTTGGCAGATTTTTCCGGCCCAAAATTAGGTTGGGTTTGGCCCAATTTTTAATTTTTTTTGGATGAGCTAAGAATGTGATTTATGCAATTTTAGTTGTTTTTTTTGCTCGGCCCAAAAAGCCCGTATGGCCCGGCTGGTTGGGCAGCTTTGGACACATAACGAAACTACCCTATCTTATCCAAACAACCATATGTTAATGAAACCATCCTATGTTATTGTATCCACCCTACATAATGGAATCCACCTTTTCTTATCCAAACCACCCTATCTTATCTAAACACCATATTTTAATGAAACCACCCTACTCTCAATCAATTAGACCCTACTTTCAATGCGACCCTACCGTCAATCAATTCAATCATTGAGACACTACCCTCAATCATAGAAACCCTGCTCTTATTGCTGAACCACCCTAGGTAATCTAAAGCACCCTAGAATACAAAAATCACTTTAGGTTAGCAAAACCACCTTAGGTTATCTTCACCACCCTAGGTTATATGATCCACCCTAGGTTAGAATTCGCAATATGTCCTAATATAAATACGGTTTAACCTAATACAATTACACAATCCTTACACTTGGATAATTAGCTAAAGGGGGATTAAAATTCCACCTTAGATACAAAGGAAATCCATAAATGAAATCAATGTATAAGTCATAAAAACATAAATGAAATCAAGGTGTAAACTTATCAAGGTTTATACCTATCTATTAGTTTATGCTGCCTTTCAGATTTATTTGATGTTTAGTACACTGGTTCGTTCTTCTTTTAGCTTCTGCCCCCATTGATGCCTCCTCTGCTTGTTTTTGCTTTTTTTTCCCACCTTTGCCTCCCCAACTTCTTGTCTCCCCAACTGCTTGTATCCGTTAGGAATCAGGCCAAACGTAACTCTAGCCGAACCTCGCACAAGTGTGTGTATACCTCAAAAAGGTCTTTTTAAGGGTTGTAACGTGGTTAGGCTAAAGGTGAAAGAAGAAGGGGATAAAGGATCAAGACCCTAGATAAGCCCCCAAGGTGTGCAACATTGCTTTTGTATTTTCATGCTCGAGTTTTTCTCATTTTTGAGCTCTCTTTCTTTTTTTTTTTTTGCTCTCTGTTTTTTTTGCTTTTGATTTTTTTTTTTTTGAATCTTTTTTGTAAGTGTGGGCAATCTCGATCATGCGGTCTATCACTCACTTGGCATTTATGTTTCTCAGGCGCGGTACCGAGCACTCGATAAGAGACGCAATCTGAGACGTGTTCTTATCAAAGATATTTTCATATCAAAGACATTGGAACACTTGCCCTTTTGTACACTTTTATAAATTTTCTTATTTTTATTTTATTCTTTTGAGATTACTCAAGCTTTCATATTTGGAACTTGCATAAGTTACACACCATCCCATCCCAAGGTTAGGTAGATGTGTGTTGAAGAAAGAAAGGTTTATCATTAGACGAGGCTCAAAGTGGTTCATCAAGAAAGGGATTATATGTTTAAAGGGTGAAGATGGTATGATATGGCTACAAGGGGTGCCTCTAATCATGGGTATACCTTGTGCTTAGTTCGACCTTAATTTATTTTTTATTTTTTATTTTTTTGCAATGCAATGATCATATGCAAGAAATTAAAATGCTCATTTTATTAAAAGGAAAAAAGAAAAAATATGGACCTAAGACATGTAGATGAAGAAATATGGAAGAATTAGGAATAGAATGGACCCCCAACTCAAATGACGGAAAGACGACTCATGCATGAACCTAAGACATGGTCATGATGACACATACAAAGTGTGGGCTAAGACTAGTGGATTTAGGTGACATGTTAAGAGTTGTTTCATGACCACGTGGCTAGACTATGTGACTAGACTCAAGCAAAGACTAAGTTAAGACTTCACGTATGTGCATAAAACTGGACAGGCTATGGTATGTTAGTCATAACTTTTGATCTGTGACACTGATTGGGATGAAAACAACGCCAAATTAAAGATAAAACTCGGGGCTACAGATCCATAGGCTATACGACTCGTGGTTCTTCCTAGAACTCCGGCTATGACCAAAACAAGTTGACGCATGTGCAGTATACGGAATAAAAATCCGGGTTGACTAAAAGGAATTATGACTTGATTTTAGGCTTATTTATTAGTTTAAATTAATTAATTAATTAATTAAACAAAGTCTTTTAGTCATTGGTTAGTTTATTAAAATTTATTTACAAACACAAGTCAAACAAAACGGTTAGTTTAGTTACATATATTAGCTATGCACAAGTAAAAGATGCACAAGTAGTCAAGTAGTCACAATATGATGCAATGAGTTTGCAACCTAACCATGACTCTAGTTCTCTAAAGTTCAAGGATATGGGTTAGTAAAAGAGGGTCCATGGTTATGAGTCCGGATGCATCGCGCTGAAGCCTAACCTTGAAGGGTTGGCGCGTATGGATGGGACCCCGCAAGTTAAAAAACTTGCTTCCATGGTTTGGTGGATTAACTAACTTGCATGTACCCGTCGTTGCCAGGAGCGTTCGATTGGGTAGATGAAGCGTGAACCCCCAGAGGGTTATGGCCATATGTAGAACCCATATGGGTTTCAGAAAAGTGAGAAAAACTCAATCAGGAAGTAGAATCGAGCCAACAGTACTAGAAATGGTCAAAACAAGAAGGCAGAGTTCTTTCTCGGTATTGGAAGAACTTGGCGCCAAACTATAGGAACTTTCGCCGCAAAAGAACCTTTGTCGCCAAGCGACATAAGCTCTTTACAGGCGATGGTCTCTGTTTTCTAGACGCTAGTTCCTACATGCCTCAGCAGGTATCTGTGTTCTTAGAATTTTCCAGATTTCGCAGTATTATTTCGATTCTAGTTGTGAAAGATATTTCTCAAATTTCCTACGTGTAAAATCCTATGTTTTTTACTCATTTCGGATGGTCTATCCAATGAGGACCTTTTTTATGCATATGACAATAATGTTAATCAAAATTACGCACATGAAATACTTAGAATTTTTCGAGTCTCATCCGCTCATTCTAAATCATTGCCAAAATAAATTTCAGGAATTAAATAGAAATCCTCCCCAGTGGAGTCACCAAAAAACTGTAGGGAATATTTCAAGCACTATGATCCCAAGCTCGAACCCCACTGTGATCATACATTAAAGTATGGTGGCTTTCCAAAGGGAATGAAAAGAGAGCAAAAGAGTTGCCAACAAGTTTTAGGAACTTGTAAACCCAAAACGATCCAGGAAATCGTCAACTCCATAAGGTCAGGAACCAAATAGGGTTCGGGGATGAGGGTACGAATCCAATCTATAAAAGAAAGGAACCGCCCTATAAAATAGGCCTCTACTTTGTTCTGCTCGTATTCATGTGCGCTTTCTGACTAACATGCAAACATTAGATTAACCATAAACCTGTTTATCTATGTTGGTTGAATATTAATGCACAAATAAATCTATTATTGGCGATCACTTGAATTAAAATCACATTAGCCTAAACCAAATTATTAATTATCTTATTAAGCGTAATTTCAAATACAAATTCCCTTTAAACATGCATAAAAGGCGTGATCAAGCAATAAATAATAATATAATATCAAGCAACATAATAATAATCATGATAATCATAGCATAATTATAATAAGGCATAATAGAGCTTAATAACAATAGCAAGATCCTAGGCATGATACTAACAAGATTAATAACAAATCCTAGCATGTCACTAAGCAATAAAGATCAAAGCTTTAAACCTAACATGGTACTAACATGATAACATGATATTAGAAATAATAAAAGGCACCCTAAACATGATTCTAGAAAGCATAAATAACATCCTAACATGATACTAGGAATTAATCAAATCTAAACATGTTTTCTATATTCGCGGAGTAAGCTAATCTACTTACTTTGAAGCCTTGTACCTCTTTCTAATAACAAAATACACAAGTTAGTAAACTTCAATGAAAATAATAAAGATTAAAGAATTAAATTAAATAATTGAAAGAAAGAGTTAAAAAGTTTAGACTGGATTTGGGACCAAACCCTCAGAAATTATCAACCTTGCACGTCTAGGGTGAAGACAACTTCGAATTTGGATAGATGTTTCAAGATCTTGTGTATGCGGAATTGTGTTTGATAAATAGCTAGTTAAGAAAGAGAGAGAGAATTAAGCTATATTGCTTGAAGAGAGTTGAATAGAGAGAATTGGGTGATTGTTGATGAGAGTTGGTCGATTGTTGATGAGAGTTGGTTGATTGAAAAAAGGGGAGATATGACCTCTATTTATAGG